TCATGGATATTGTCAAAAAGTAAACTGTGACAAATCTCACTTTCTTTTCATCTTCCCTCCTCTTGTATTTTAAACAAACACTTTTTGTTTTTTTTTAATATTTCATTGTAGCTGAAGACTGGACTGTAGGCCTGATTGATCAAGCATCCACAGGAGCCTTTGTACCAGTGGGGATTTCTGTGATTTTGTATTCCGTAGCACCTAAAAGCAACATGCGCAAGTAGAGGAGTGCAACATATATTCTATCTCCCATTCCATTACTTATATCCTATAGCACATGTATTGTAAATTGAAATTCAGGAATTGATTTCAGAATTTGCATTGACTGCTTTTGGTGAGTTATTGAATTGGTTGATTGTGCATTGATTTGTAATTGACAAGTCGTTGACTTGATTGATAATTGTCTTCATGAATTGATCATTTTAAATTTGAATAATAATTAAATTGGTTACGTTCATGTACTTTAATGTATCAGGTGCATGATACGTCCAACTGGGGTCGTCAAGTTCGTTGTAAAGATTAAAATTTCCCGATCATGACAAAGAGCAAACGGCGGGTGTGATCGGTCAGCAGGGGATGCTCACTCGTTCGTGGCACCTGATTCCACCTTTGATGTTTTGGAGGTACTTGTTTGCCAATTTTGTATTGTTTAATGGACCTTTGAGCTTGAAAATTGATATTTATCTCCATTTATTTCAGAAATGAAGGACAGCATTGTGGTAACCCCAGCGACTTGAGGCGTCATATCAATTAAGCAGAATAAACACCTCTTTTGTTTGCATTTGGTATGAATGGAATCCAAGACAATACTGCTACTTTATGCTATAAATTATCGAGATAATGAACAGAAACCAACCCCAAAAGTCCTAACCGGAAGCACAGCAGAACAGGACCTCCTTAAACATCACAATTAAAATCGGGTGTCATGGAGAAGTAAGTATCTCTTGTTGAGCGAACCACACACAACGTTTGCTCCTTGTTAGGATCGGAAAATAACATAGACAATTCAGTGTGTAAACGAAAACCTAACAATTCGTATGTAAACGTTAGTCATTATTTAGCTGTATGATACATTGATTTTACTGACAATGGTACTGTATAGACCATAGGGCTTGGCAAATTCTGACTTTAACCGAGACCCCTGTTAATCTTATATTTCATCATCTTTCATCATCTTTTTTATTAACAACCTGCCTCGTTTTAGAAATTGTTCGTAGGTAAAGCATTCACTAGGATGTCGAATCAACTGGGAGATCGTAGGTGTAAATACTAGTATATGAAACAATAGTAAAAGATAGTCAGAATAGCAAATAATAATGTTGTAACAATTAAGGTATGTCACTCGTCAGCTTTTTAGAAAAGTTCAGGCAGAACCTTTTACCTCAAAACTATTTATATTAATTCATGTTTTATAACATATATGAATTAAACAATGTAAATTGTTGAACAATGAAAAAATGCTTATAAATTCATATAGAAGCAAAATTTATGAGTGATTTTTTCTTGTGGTGGAAGGATATTTAGCAGAAAATTCTGCAAATCTGCACATTTATTAAATTTAATATCTCAGAATTTAAGCGTCACAAACTTTTACTCAAAGAATAATATTTGCTATGATATGCTACGAATATTAAATATACATGTATATTTTATTGTGAAAAATATGTTAACAAATCATAGGATAATCTTTCTTTGATTTGATGTACTTAGTATATTTCAAGTTTCACAATCTTCAGTATTCATATAAATACATCTTTCAGATGTATCTATAGTTCACATTTGAAAAAGAAATTTATTCATAACTAAATCTTAAGTTCTCTACGTGATTTGTAATCCATTCCAATGTCTTCGACGTGCAAAGTTTTCCTAAATGTAATCGCTGAACGAAAAAATAGGAAATAATCTTTTCTTTCTTACAAACGAACATTTCACAGGTTTATTAGGAAAGTTAAAGAAGACTTTTAAAAAGGGACCCTGACAAGCAATTTCTAGATTAATATGAAAAAACAAGAGGTCAATTACAAAACATTTCAGGGTTTGTGATCAAGTGCTCACTACATTATTGCTCCATAAATGATTATGCATCAACTCGTACAAAAGATGAAGAAGATGTTTGATCTTTATTAACTTGATCCTCTATTGCTTCGTATCGAACATCAAAGCCGGACAAAAAAGAACCAGGGCTGGCACATTAATGACTCTTGCTAGCATCAACCCTTTGAGACATTCTCTGCAATATTTATAATGCATAAAAACGTCCCTTATAAAAAGACCCAGGATTCATTATCTAAGCTTTTATCAAAGATAAATTTTCATTAATTTGTTTGATGAAGTGTTCAATTTAATTAAAGGTATTGTTCAAAACATTCTATCGGGTGAGTCATAACTTGATACACTGGAATCAAAAAGGTAAAATGTAAATGAAAAACAAATCAGTGAACCAATGCATAATATACTGTTAGAAGTTACCGAATTGACGATTTTTTCCCTTTGAAAACAGCTTATTTTCTTTTGTCACATTATAGTGCTGTTAATCTTCTTATGTGCTTTTAATAACAGAAATAACAATTAAACGCAAAATGCAATTTTGACATCAGATCAGTCCGTCCTTGCAATTAAGGGTCTTGTTTTTTAAAACCTTTTATAACATGTCACGTACAACGTAAAACTGGTGATAGATCTAAAAAAAAAATAATATATCGAGTTTTTCAAGGACATCATTGCAAAAAGTTGCTTTTATTTTTCGCCTCTACAAATCAATTTATATAATAAATGCAAAATAGGATCTGTCACATCTGTTTCATATCTAGATATTTTACTTGAAAAATACTTTAAATTCTAACAAGCAAGCTTATTAAGAAACGAGATGACTAACTTTTTAATTGTCAACTTCCCTTACATATGATGCAATATGCCTTCGAGTTTATATTTCTCAGTTGATTCGATACGCAAAATCATGCTTTACGTATGAATATTTTTTAAAACCAGGTACGGTACGTTATTGAAAAACAAGTTGCTGAAACAAGAATACCAGCAGTCTCGTTCAAATTCATCATCTCGTAAAGTCATAAGTTCTATGGTCGATACAATTTATCATTAAGTCAAATGATGACTGGCATTTTTCATATTTATTGTTGGGCCATTATTTACACACTGAATTGTCGACGAATTTTCACTGTTACTTCCCAGTCATGACAAGAAGCACACGTCGAGTGTGACCGGTCGGCAAGGGATGCTCACTCCTCCATGGCACCTGATCTTACCTCTGATATTTTAGAGGCCCGTGTTTGCACTGCTTAATTTTTTTGTATCGTTTAATGGACATTGAGCTTGAATACTGTTCGTTATTTTCATATATTTCATCAAAAAATAAGAAAAAAAACTTCATTAATTTATTTCATTTTTTAGTTTTGAAAATCAGGAGTAAAGTAATGAAAATGCTCACTAAAATGATACTAAAATCATCAAGTAAACCAAAAAACCCTATTTCTTCAAAGAACAACATAAAAGTTTATGAAATTTTAATGGAAAGACCATCAAATATCAATTATTAATATTTTCAAGATATCCAAAATCAAATCCAACGTGAATTCATTGTTTCTATGGCAAGATTAAAGAAAATTCAATTTCCTCAAAGAATCATCAAATATCAATTATTTATCTTTTCAAGATATCCAAACTCAAATCCAATGTAAATTCATTGTTTCTATGGCAAGATTAAAGAAAATCCAATTTCCTCAAAGAATAAATTTCTGTATACTTATCTACTTCTTACAAGACCTTCCTTACTTCGAAGAACTTCGATTCATATTCAGATGCAGAAAATGCTTTAAATGGAAAATGTTGCATGAAAATATTACATCTACTAGTTATTTTCATATTTTGAGTTTTTAAAAAATTAGATATTGAAAAAAGATAAAAAATAAAAATTCATAAACCTAGGAGTTATGTTCCTTGTTGCAGGGCAGATACAGTGGATGATATGTTTTTATATACTAGTTTGTTTCTTTTGCCCAAATAAGCAAACGTTTTGAATTTTCGTTTGCAATTTCCTTGAAGAAACAAATTCATTTTATTGGCCGTTACAATGACATTGTCAGCAAATACTATCTATCATTCAGTAAAATGTTGACTGACTTTTAGTATTCTTATTGTTTAGCAATTATATATACACACGGAATTGTGGATGGAATTTTCCGATTTTTTCCGATAATGACATAAGCAGAAGGCGTATGTGACCAGTTGGCAGGGGACGATCACTCCTTCATAGCTTCTGTTCCCACGTCGAGTGTTTTAGAGGTCCATGCTTGCCCTGCTACTATTTTGTAATATTAAAATGGACTTTTGAGACTTAAAAAAAACTTTTCGTTTTTTCCAAATGTGGACTTTGAATACGAAGATTAATTTAACTTTTTGATTGTTTGTTTGCTTGTTATTTATCTTTGTTAATGATGTGTTTCTAATTTTGAAAATATCAAATATTGTTAATAGGTATTTTATGAAATGTTTAAATCAAATCCGTTATTCCTACAAAAGAATCTGTGCAGTTAACTATAGGACATGAGTTTGATGATCAGGGTGAATTTGGGAGGAAAACTAGTCATTTCTAACGTCCTGGAAATACTCACTTTAGAACATCTTAAAAAATATTTCGTTACCCTCCCCGACCGACAAGCTTAAAATGATCCGACTCAAGGTGTTTTAACCTCCAGGAAGCAATAATTCTTATGCCTTCCGGAAAACTGATTGAAAAATATAAGCATTGGAATTGATATTTTTTGAGAAAAAAAACAAACAAATTCTCATCTTCTTGCTGACCCCCATTATTCATAATGAATTGGAAGAGGACACGCAAATATTATTTAAAAGTTGGCACCTTATCTACACGACTTTAACCCATAATATTAGAGGCAAGAACCCCAAAAACTACTAGTTATTTAAAGAACATAGCAACGCAATAAATACGGACACCTTCAAAGATGCAAGGACAAAGACACATCAAAATTTATCATCCAATAATTTAATAAATAATAAGCATTTAATACATACTTTCTTTGGTAAACCAGTGCAATAATTCCAAATATTGAATAAAATATTTTCAGAAAATTGTTTTGGGGTAAACGTTCATACTATATTGAAGGGTTTTGAACAACTTTGTAGATGTACATATGCTTACATGTATTTGTCTTAGCAACTTAAATATCTATTGTTAAACATTTTAAAATTATGATAAAAACATTATTTCTCCATAAATGTCAGGAGAAAAAAAAAATTCAAAAGGGAATGACAATTGTCAATCTCTTTTTAAAAAGTTATAATCACAAAATATTTTTGAATGAAGAATCACATTTGATAACGTACACAATGCACAATGTTTCAAGAGTAGTCTTTGTCAATCGGCAGTATTTTTTTCAGAAAAGGTACATCGTTACTGCATGATTGACAAGGCTTATAAAACACTTGTGTACTTTTACGACGAAAAATCTCTCTCACAAATTACAGAGAGATCAAATGTAACAAGAAAATCACTTATCACAATGTTTTGTACATCAAATATTTATATAAAAAAATCTTATGTACAATAATTAATTAACATGAATCCAGTTCATGTTAAAAGTCTTGATTTTTTCTCTTGCGAAGCAGCCTTCCAATATTCGCCAACATGAAAAAGTCATTGTATAACAAACAATATATAAATTAGATTCATTTTTCTTTTATACTGGAACATTATAACGTATGATTCGAAACATCACGCCCAAGGCTCATTTGCATAATCTCGTCCAAATTCCGTCTCCTCGGATGACGAGAGCAGTTTCTTAATCCACAGTGCCGTGGGCAGAGCCTGGCAGCCCAGGTAGTCTTGTTTGAGCTCTTTGGCCGTGAAAGGAGGATAGACGTTACAGGGGGCCCCGAAAATCGTGGTACGAACCTCGCCTCTCTCTCCCTCCTTTACTTCAGGTGTGGAATGTTTTATAGCATTTTTGCTATGCTATCAAAAAAAAAAAAAAGAGAGTTAACATTTTAAATAATTGTAAGATCACTTGTTTCAAATTAAATGCACATCTTTTTCGGATTCAAAAGCATTTCATGCAATATGAATGTTTTAATTTAACATTCATTATTTACATGGGTAAACGATTTTGCGAGTATGATTTAGATCCTTATTTGCAAATATATTGACTTTATTTACCCACAACAGTTATCTGTCATTATGAAAATGTTCAACCTTTATATATACATTAACAATTTAAAAGTTTTCCCTTTCCCAATTTACTAATAAAAAATATGCCACACTAAAATTTTACCCTTTTTCAAAATACCAATTTATTAAAAAAAAACCAAACATTTATTTTACGTATATCTATATAAAAAACTTTTTTAAACAAAAAAAAAAAAATGGATTGAAATGTCTAGATGTTTATTATCTCTATTTTTCTTGCGCACAGTTGAATTCAAAACTAATGTTTGTTTTGATCCTTAGTAAGTGCGTGGGGGTAACAATAACTAGTCCAGTAGTCACAACAGGGGGCTGGTTAACTCGTACCTAAAATACCTCCCCTGAAAGAAATATTTCAGATATTTTATCTATTCTGTTCTACATTCTCTTGTTCCAAGTGCGTATTTAAGACTGAAGCCGCCAATATCACTTGGAAGTTTAGTTTTAACTTGTTCAGATTAACACAAACCCAAAAAAGAAGTATATATCTTGCGAGTCAGAATGCTTGAAATATGAATAAATCAAAAAGTATAACCAAGCTTAAAACTCTATTCCTTGAAATCAAACAGAATGGGAGCAGAGTAAAAGTTTAACGGACCTCTTAAAACACCAGAGGTGGGATCAGGTGCCAGGAAGGAGTAGGCATTCCTTAATGACTGGTCAACAAACGGAATTATCCGTAGACAGTTACGTATGGAAAAAATGACCGTGTAAAATTGATAAAAACGTTGATAAAACAATGAATTTGCTGACAATGTTACTGTATCAACCATCAAATATTAATGTTAAAAGTCTGTTTACTGTTCACATCCTTTTTCTATCAATATAAATAAATTCTTGATAGCTTGCCTCGTTCTAGAATCAGAATTGTTATATAGAACGTAGAACATGCCTTTGCGTATCAAATCAATCAGAAGACATAACTTGTATGCAGGTGATACAATATATATCGCTATATCGGAGATGGAGATGGAAAAGTTTGTCATCATTGATCATAAAGTTTTACTAAAAGATTACCATTAAGTAAACGTCTTTTTCCAGTAAAGTATTTAAATACGAGACAGATGTGTGTGGTGTCTTTCATTTCGTGTTTAAATGTATAAATCGAATCAAGGTCGAAGTGAAAATGAAAAATAGGGAATGAAAATTTCAATAAATTTAACTTTTTTTTGAAAGATAATTTACAATACCATACATTCTCGATATATTCATAAGGATGATTTCCGCAAAAACACAAACCTTAATCAATATAAATACTCGATCCTGTAACACATTTTTTTAAAATCTGCATTTCAATCTTTGCCAATCCTTTACTTTTGCAAGTAAAATATAAGTGCAAGAAATAAGCTAAATGATTGAATTTCTTATATTGCAATTTAAACTGTCTGTCTCTCATCAATATTTAAACAACAAGTATACAAATCGAACACATTTAATCTATCTGGATCAACAATTTTACAAGACCTCCTACGATTTGTAATCACTTGTGGTGCCCTCTAACCTCTGTATTCTATCCATGTGTTCTTTTCAGTCTTTCTTTATCAGATTAAACAATAAGCAGATGTCGATTTCAGAGCTCTTTGGTTTTTTTGTTTAAATATCCAGGCCCCGGATGTTTCCTATCTAATCAGAAATACATATCAATCTGGTAACGTACTTTTTTTTGGATTTACGAACGCGTGCATTTTTTTTTTACATCGAATGCTCGCTAAACTTAAGATTCATTAACCCCATTTATCATAATGACGAAAACTCTAAAAATACCAGATGGATGTGATTTTTTTTAAAAATTAGTTTAATTTTTTTTTAGATACAAATTAAAGTACATGTACATAGAAATTGAAAAAAAGGAAACAATATTTGAAGTAAATACTTTTATTACAGAAAAAAAAAATCATTGAAGCAAATTATTTTGTGTAAGTCAAATTAAAAAGAAAATTAAAAAAAGACAATTTCCTCAAACATGTACGAGGTCGATATATTTAAAAAAAAAAAAAGAACTTTTTATAAAGTTTATGTGGGTTGAATGAAACACAGAATGTACAGTACTATGGAATATATTTACAGTCCAATCGGAGAGGTCTGAATGAAACCGATCATACGAAGTATGAATGGAATTCCAGCACGTCAAAATATCTTTACAGATTATTATTGTAGCCACGAAATAGATTGTTATCAATGAAATACCGGAAAATCACGTTCCACGAGGGTCGGTGGGTTCTCTACAGTTTGAATTATGTTTACCCATCAATCACACGGTGCGTGCTAACTAGTAAAACGTCTGAGCTTTTCAGAGGGTCTGATTAACTTTTTATTTGAAAAATATTTCGAGTCCTTTCAATGGTATTATATTGCGCGCTCCTTCAAGCATTATCCTTTAATTTGATTAAATTTTGTAAAACCTGATAAAAAATGTGATCGAATTTTATTTCAGTTTATTTAAATTTTACATACAGTTAGCGTGAATGGGTATAATTATCTATTTTCTATTAAACTAAATTAGAAAATATTCGTTCTTTGTACTTAACCTCAATACCAGAGAAGAAAATAATATATTTGTATATCGAAATTTAACCTCGCTCTTTGCTTTGCTTCTACACAAATTTCATCATTAAAGAGACTCGGCCTATACCTTTGCGGTTTGTGCCTAACAGTACCAGTTCCTTATACATGTAACCCTTAATTTTCTTTCACCAGAGGTCTGCACGCTATGTTGCTGGTTTGCATGCAGCTATTTTCGTTCGTTTTACGTCAGTATATATATTTTTTGTGTTATTTAGCTTTCAGCAGATATCAGATGCTTTTATTCGTGATAAGAATGTTTTATATAATTACTTTAATTTATTTATTTTTTTTTTACTAAATACAGTGCTTTTCTGATGTCATACGTATGTTGCAAAATAAAGTGCAAGGATAAATTGCGTACTTATATTCTAATATGATAAGTTGATTGTTTTATGGAATATAGGATTGTGTCTTCATTCCGAAAATTATTACATATGTTATGCTTAAATAACAAAAGATGGCGGATTAACAATTTAGATATATTTTGTAAATATACAATTTGACTAGGAATGCAGAATTTAAATTCGTCTATAGAATGTGTAATTATGAACAATGACCAGCTATTTTCTTAATTATAAAAAAGGTATACATTCGAATGAAATTCTTTTGTAGTTATTACGTATTTAAAAAGTAATGTCCTGATTCCTGCTTTTTGTTGTTTTTTTGTACCCTTTTCATTCTTTTTCTCCTTTTTGTCATTTTTAAAAAAAGTATCCTTCACAATTTTTTTTCTCTTACGACAATTGCTATTTTTATTTCAAATAGTTAAATTATTTTTAATGAACTCATCAAGAAGATAAATTTATATTTTACTTCCAGATTAATGTATCAGTTTATTCGATACGCAAGAGCATCCCCACTTACTAATTCTTTCTTTTACAAGACAAGTTGATAAACAGTTGATGAAATAGGAATATCGACAGTCTCGTTTAAATTAAGTCATCATTTCGCAAGTTCTATAGTCGATACAATGGCCTTGTCAGCAAAAACAAGTTTTTAAGACAAATGCTGATTGACATTTTTCATTGTTTGGCCATTATTTTCACCCTGAACTGTCGACAGATTTTTTTTCCTTTTTTCCCCCGAACATGACAAGGAGCACAGGGCGGGTTTGACAGGTCGGCAGGGGATATTCAATCCACTGTCGCACTTGATCCCACTTCTGATGTTTTAGAGGTCAGTGTCTGTTCTGTTTCATTTTTTATTGTTTGAATGCCTCTGGACTTCTGACTATGAATACTGTTCGTTATCTCCGTATTTTATCTGATCGAACCCAGGACCTCAGCTCTCTATAGCTATATACTTAGTATTCAGATGGATATATTGTATACCTCGTGTATGGTCCACGTGCATTGGTGCGTGTGATTGGATCTAGTCCACTGACGTGAATATTCATCATCATATGCATATTCATTATTGTCGCCACTGGCAAAAACGATGACGTTCCGATGACGTTTGGAGTTCTTAAAGGCGTCGGCGATGTCTCCGGAAAAGCTCTGGTCCACGATTAGATGGACGTAGTTAGCAGCACATAAAGCCAGGTCCTCCTTCAGCTCTCTAATGGTGTATTCCTCAGACTTGTCTGCCTGCAGATTAATAAAAGTATAACATTTATATCAAGCCTATATATAAGCTTGTTTCTTTAAAGATTTTAAGTATGCATTACATTGATATAAGATTTAATATGAAAAAAATTATAAATAAAAAAAAATTAATGAACAATCACAATTAATACCCAGGCAAAGAAACAACTAAGCATAAATTCATCCATAGCACCTAATCCCACCTCTGTTATTTTTTTTCAATAGACTTCTGACCTCACCTCCATATTTCGTGGAGACTTTCATCTCATTTCATTTTTGACAAAAAATGTTGATATAAACATGTGTATAAAAGAGAGGCTGCTTTGAGCTGTCAATCATAATTCCAAACTCTAATCGGAAAAATTCCAACGTCATGAATATTTTCGTGAAATCATAATTGCTGAAATTCGGTGGACATTTTTTTCACCCTACATATTGACTTCATTAAACAATGCTAAACCTTTTCTGTCCACTTTGAATGTAAACAAAAATCTTGAAGACAATTAAAGTTTAAAACTTCAAAGAGATAAAGATATTGAATTATTAACCTTGTTAGATAGGTTTAATAATTTAATAAAATTCTCGGCGCCTTAAGATTGACATTTAAGGTATTAACAAGAGGTTAGCGAGACAGCCCCAAAATGATTGACTGGTTCAGAACGGACTTCATATTTAATAAAACACAGTGCTCATATATACATACAAACATACATATGTTGATCACGTTTTGTGAAGTCATGTGCCAAATGATGTTGATTCTTTGAAAAAATTATGTACATTTATTTCTAAAATTAATAGTATTGTTTGTTCTCCATAGTTAATTAGTTATCACCTTCTGCTTGACCCACTGTATTATATGAATATAATGTTTAAATATGTTTCTGTACCTCATGTACCATTTACATGGTTTTGAGTGAATAAATTGAATTGAATTGAATCGTTTTTTTTCTCTTCTTGATTATTTTATATTTCACTGTATTCATTTAGATTTTATGTTTGAATTTTCATAATTTTTCTGAATTAAACAAATCAACTTGCTAACTATACCCCATCACTTTAATGAAACACTTTCACAAATAAGAAATTTAGATATTGAAGACAACCAGATTTGTTATCTCGTACAGTCTAATTTTTGAAATGTACTTGCTTTTTTACTTTTAATTTACAATAGAGAGGCTTAAAATAAATATCGATAAAATAATTTTTTCCTTTGAAATTTTTTGTATATGTTCCTACTTTTTATGTCTTAAAAAGTTACCGCTAATTAAGTTCATAATTCAAAATAGGATGGTGGAGAAAATCAATCAATTAATCAATGATTGATTGATTGAAATAGGATGGTGGAGAAAAGAACTTCCAGAAGGGTTTAATTATTATTTAAATTAGCGGAACCCCAGTTCAACGCTGTCTGTCCTCCTTAATACATTACTTTCTCTGTTATTTTTCTGTTTCCCCTTCCTTTTTATTTTGTAACATTTTGTAACATATTCTTATTGTATATATTATATATATTTTATTTTGCACCTCTGACCTGTTTGTTTGAAATGTATAATGTTTTATTGTACCCCATGTACCAACATTTTGGTTTGGGAGAATAAACTAAGCATGAACTTGATATATATGAAAACATTTTATACATGTAGTATACACATCATTAATTCAAAACATATATAGCTTTAACAAATGAATTGATTCAATTGAAGATGATTAGTAATTTTCCAAAAGCTTCTATAGGAACCAGGAATGTTGATAATATTGATCCTGATTTCAGAACAATTCTTCATTTATAAACATTCCCTAGATATATTAAACCGATAAGTCAAGTACACGACATTAAAATATTAAAGAGAAAAAAAAGTTCAATTTAGCTATTTTTTGAGGTTTTGCAGACCCTATAAATCTTCGCTTCAGTTAATGATCCCCTAATAATCCGTAAAGGACTATTATTAACGGGTTAAATAGACCACCCCCGTGATATACATGTAACCGTGATAGTTGTGGTCCGTAAATTGAAGTAGAAAATGATTTGTGGCTTTTGTGAAGGAAGATTTTCGTAGTTTGGCTATTTAATGATAGGATTGAGTGTAGTTTTATCGGTAAAATGTATCAGGAATTTATCACCTGTTATCGCGGGGTTTTGATTTTCATTTGTATCTTTACGAGCAATCTGAAATAATAAATACCCTCGCGTGAGATATCCGCATATAAGTATTTTTTTTTTAAATTAAACTATGCATGTATACAGTGTATAACGTATCATTATTTCTGTAGGGAATATTACAATAGATCATGTAAAATATTAAGATTAGAACAAAACCTACTGACACTTTTTTTGAACAGTTTTCTTCAGCCTGAATTCCAAAAGTGCCATCATTTAACATTTATTATACTTTTGGCACAATCTAATGAAGATCAGATGTTTGATCCGCTCGCATACTACACTAACATTATGATTTTAATTTGATTGACTTTTGGCACTAAGCTCGTTCTATTCAAATGATGCACACACATGATGGACAAGTTACACAACAATTTCATGAAGAAGACATTTAAAAAAAAAAATCACATACTTGATTCCAAACGGTTGTTATGCATTGTTTTATGCTTACGAATATACGTACATATATGTGTATGATCGACAGATACGACGATTCGATCAATTTCCTAAATACCTGAAATTTGCAATCAGTTGGTCATGATTTTTTTTTCTGTGCTAGAATTTCTCCTCTCTAGATATTGATAAAAGATCAAACAATTTTTTAAATGACATAATAATATTAAGAAGTAATGCTACTTTCGGCAATATTGAATTTTTTCGAGAGAAACTTCAAAGTACATTTCCACTCTTGGGGGAGCTTCTGGTCTCTAATTGTTACATAATACAAATTTCAAATGAAGATAACCTCGTCAATTCAGATCTGAAAGGTCAGTAATATTAAAGACTTTGACGACTTCGCGATCTGATTAAGGGCTTTATGGTTACTTATAGATTTCCTTTTGAAATGATAGGTTGGTATATGAAATATCTGACGTATGTAGTCATAAGATTCTTTTAACGTAACCCTACAAATCAAAATATCAGATTTTTGTTCCCTTTTCATTGATTTCAAGGGATAAAAAACTGTCAAATTACCCCAAGTAAATATGGATATTTATAAAAGAAACATAAAAAACACACAAAGACATAAGCGAATTGCTCAACGTAAAACAAGTTTGCAGAACATTAAACTTATTGTATAAAAGTCTAATACATGTAGATATAATACATACATGTAGACATAATACATACATGTAAATATACACATAAATACTCTGAAATTGATTTTAAAATGATGGTAAAGTTTCTCAATGACCAATTTATGTACATGTATAGTCTCCGGGGACTAATTCTTTCAGCAAACTGTTGGAATTCAAATGGGCACTAATTGTGCTCTTTTATTAGCCGACCTGTTTTATATTCCTATGAAGCAGATCTGAATTCATTCAAGAACTTATACATGAAAAGGAGAAAACGCTTGCAATATCTATTTCATAATTGGATGATTCGCTAGCTAAGTCCAACTTACAACTAAAATTGTAAAACAAACATGGTGACTAAGCTTATCAGATTTCATAGTCTACTTTTTTCTATTCATGTAATAATATCGTGCTATCACCTGCATATGAAGGTGATATCTCCCAACGTATTTGCTACTCAAGCGCACGCTCTGAGTATGATCAACTTTTAAACCCGGGCAGGTTACTCACACAAAAGTTGATGTTACAGGGATTTCAACAATCTCATTTAAAGTCATCATTTCTATCGTCGTTATATTAACCTTATTAACAAATATAACCAATCAGCCGTATTTTATCTGACTTGTTTCGTACCAATTGGTAGGCCTTTGCTTTGGTACTAAATTTCACGATGGAAATTTTCGTTTACTTGATACCAAGGGCTCGTGGCATGAGTGACCGCTCAATAAGGGATGCTTACTGACTTGGGCTGACGCAATCACCCCATTGGCGGATCCAGAGGGGGGGGGTTCCGGGGGTTGGAACCCCCCCTTTATTTTTTGCCAAGTTGAGAGAGAGAGAGGGGGGGGGGTAAACATTTCCAGAGAATAAATATTTATAGGTCTTACTTATGTATTGAATAGATATATTCTCATACATTTAGTTTCCTCCATTCACCTTCACCATTACTTTTTTTAATGAAAGAATGGTAGTAAACATTTTACTTATTTTTATATATCTTATAAATATGTAACATGCGAAATTTGATTTGATATTAGATTCCAGCGATTTTTAGCTGCATGTCTTGGCTATCTAATGTACCGGGGTTTTTTTATCATATTTTCGAAGGAACTAACATGTAACTCTTTATTTATAACCTCAACCGCATCCCACCCCGAAAAAGTTTTTTCAAATTCTGGAAGAAAATTCTTTGTAATCTAAGGAAATGCTGCAAATCCATTCATTTTATAGGCTTCAGTAGTTTTTGAAATGTGTTTCTTATTTTATTCGGACTGGGGGTACCTTTTCAAAGGAAAATGGGACTTAAAACATAGATATTATTTATCACAACCTTGGATTTCCATACGTGTGTGTGAATCTCTGCTTGAGAGTTTGGAAGGGGGGTTAAAAGGGCACAACCCTGGAACCCCTCCTTTCAAAAATGGCTGGATCCGCCCCTGCACCCCCACCCCCAAAATACATATAGTGAATATTAAACATGAAAGTGCATTTAAATATTAAGTTATTGAAAACTTATCACTTACAAGTCCATTATTATCGACGTCCCAGAGAAGACTTGTTCCGTCGTTCTTGGCTGGACTGTTCAGATATACAACCAAGGAATTCACACAATGCGGGACTCGACAGAGCTTCTGAAGGTGGTACCGGAAGGCATACTTCATGGCAGCTGGATGTACCTGGTGCGCATGCTCACCGGGAACTAAGGGAAAAAAGGAAATGTGTTAATTTCTATGACTTTGTAAAAAAAAAAAAAACCCATGGCTACCGACCTCCTGACCTTCAATTTGACCTTTGAAATACTTTCAACACACAGTTCATAATGTCTACATAAATGTACAGCATAATTATAATTAATAGGTAAGTCTGCAAGTGCACCGTTTGCCATAGGATAATAGGAAAATAGGCTAAGGGGATATAAAACTTAGATGAGCTCACTTTTTATCTCAGTCTCACTTTTACCAATAATTAATAGTGGAAAAGTTAGATTGGGATCAAAAGTGAGCTTGTCTAAGTTTCATGGCCCTGGGGCCTGAAGTCACTCTCGAGAATGTAGCTCTACTCGTTTGTATTTATAACTCTGGAAGAGAAAATTAGCAGTTTGACTTGGAATTTGCAACAGCAAATAAATAAAACTATGACCCTTGATTTTGTCTCTTTTCACGGAAAGATTGCTATCAGATTTAAACTGTAGTAAGAGTAGACTTGTAAAAGAATTTTACAGAAAATTCTATATTTAGTTACCATGGCAGCACAGTTCATCAAAATCAATATCATATAGAATTATGGTAGCTTAGTGTAGTCTACTTGTATGAATAGTTATATCGAAATCAGACGAAAAACTGTAGGAGGAGTAGCATTTTGAAAAAAATGTTTACAGATAGACAGATGGATGACGGACACTTATCATCGCAAAAGTTCCTCAGGTCTCTGACCAATGTAGCTAAAAATGTCAGCATTACAGTCAACTTGTCATTACACTTTGACTTCCTTTTGAAAATACACTATACATTTAATTCTTTTCATACATGTTTGTCTTCTTAATTTTTCCGAAATTTGTCTACTTCATCCCACCTAAAAATGAACTCTCCTTGGAAAAAAGAAATTGACGCTCATTTTTCGAAAACTCTTTAGTTACTAGATTTTATTTCTTAGCAAGTTACACTGACTAAATTCATCGTGTAAGACATTTCATGAGTGAAGAGATATCTAGGGTTTTAGTGATAGATTTTAAATTCCGTGAACTTATTAACACTGTTATATAACCTCGATATCTCCACAATATCAGCTCGAATTTCCTTTGCCTCTTTATTCAACGTTCAACAAATTTCGCGGACACCTTTTGCACTAAAAACGCCCAGGTTAATTAGAAATGTACATGGAATCAGATTTTGGAGACTGGGATTTGGATTTAAGAGTTTGAAGAGATAGCGAAATGCAACACGTTATTGTGGAAATCATATCACTGCACTTTGTTATCTAAATTAAATTTGAACAAAGAACATTTTTCGGCGATGATTTTATGTGCGTTTCCTTCCAACGTTTCTCTCATTAATAATAGTACAAATAGTATACCTGATAGAGAACAATTTACATATAGTGCATATAAACTTGATATAGTAAGCAGCCGTTACATACGACATATATTGACCATTTTAATTTACCATTGATTAAAAATCTTTTATTTGTTTTTTAATCTATTTATTGCTGTTGTTTGTTTGTTTATACATTATTTTTATGCAACTTAAAGTCTTAAAATCTTATAATTTCCTTCTTTTTGTTTAAGTTTTGCTAAATTGCTTGATTTTAAGACCAGTCTTTTCTTTAATACAATGACCTTTGAAACTTTAAAGATAAATTGCTTCCGGTTTCTTCCCAACGTACAAAAATGATAATTATGTTATAACCTTTGTAAAGAAAACCTTGAATTTAATCCACCAGCTACGTATAAAAAAAAATGAGATGAACATCTTTGTCTGGAATTGTGGTCGTTGTATATATTTGTACTTCAGAGTCATCGAGTCATCAACGAATATTAACTTCATCAAATATAGCTTTGAACTTTTTGCATATTTAGGAGTTATATATGTAAACGAAATGATGTCCCCACGAACCAGTAAAATTTTGATAATCCACGAACATCGAACATTGGCCCGATAAATTAAGACAATTCCAAAGTCAGGTACGTAAGCACTTTCTTGGGGTTCCCGATCTTTTATGCAAAAGGACTTCATCGGTCAAAGTCAGTAGTGCTCAAGATTAAAAAAAAACAACTATTACAAATGTTCTTATGATAACAAATGGAGATCTTCATTTAATTTGATGTAGTGAACACGATTATATAATTATAACATACAATATACGGAGTATTAAAATAAAAGCAGTTCAGGTTTATAACAAAATATTTCCAGATGTGATTTCTCTGATGTAATATTTCATAAGCAGAACAACTGATTTACTTCCCTGATTTGATTTGAAAATGCAATATACAGACAAAAGATGGCTAGGACACTGCATTATATAATTATAAAGTTTGTTTACAATAATAATAATATACATGCCTCTCCCTAGTATTAAAAAAGATATATCAAAGGATGCACTATTGTCAATTGACCTTGAGTGAGATACATTAGTCAGGCAATGAAAACTGAAATTCAGTAACTTTATGAAATAATAATATCCGGTATGCTATTCGATTACATGTGTACATGCACAAATCAGTACCCTACAGCAACTCACTCGTGAATGAATATACCTGTTACCATGTACTTGCATTCATCAAAACTCATCATACTACGCCTCAGTGCAAAGGTGAAGGTCTAATGAAAAAAAAAATTTCATGGCCTTCGTTTCTGACCAATCCTACAAGCTATCTTAATGATACTCATTCATATCACTTTGCTCAAAACAAGAACTTTCTTTATGATAATTTGAAAGATTTTATAGTACATATATATGTACTTAGATCGCAAACATCCTTTACCAATACTTTACATGTATTGAGGTTGTGAGCGCTACATTAACAACTAGTGCTAATTGTAACGGGAACCGTTACAGATGTTCCCCAAACGCTCCCCAACTCCCTTTCGGTGCCATATTCCCTATAAGCTTCATTAAATAAGACAAACTCTGTGCATTTTTGACTTTAACTACGTTTTCCCAGAAGGATACCAATTATATTCAATTTTTAGCATTGCACCCAAGCGCATGTGAATGCATGTGCGTTATGACCATATTATCTTGTCTACACTATTTATATATTTTAATATACTATATATTAAAGCATTCAGTCCAAAAGTAATAAAAATCACTCATTCAAGAGTATTTTTGAATATACTCGTTTCAAATGCACGCACGTGCGTGCACGTGCATGATGATCATACCTTCTTGTAGAAGTCCCTTACATCTATCTATGTTCTAAATCCCATCCTGTTTGGTTGAAAAACAAGGGAGTTATAGCCATTTAAAGTTTCAGCCAATCAGATTGCAGCACACGTGCATGCGCGTGATTTCATGTTGTTTTTTTTATATCATTTTGTAGGATATCCTAATGCATGACTACATTTTAAATTTCAAAGAATTTCGTCAAAAAACAAAGGAGACATAGCCATTTTAAGTTTCAGCCAATCAGATTGCAGCACACGTGCATGCGCGTGATTTCATAATTTTTTTTTCTATATCAGTTTGTAGGATATCCTAATGCATGACTATATTTTAAATTTCAAAGAATTTCGTCAAAAAACAAAGGAGATATTGCCATTTAAAATTTCAAAATCAGCTTGCAGCACGCGCACATGCGCATGCTTTCAAAAATTCTTATATATCATGCGGTAGATCTTCATAATGTAGGACTATGTTCAAAATTTCAAAGGATTATGACAAGAAACAAGAAAGTTATTGAGACTTAGTTTCAGCCAATCAGAGCGAAGCGCACGTGCATGCGCGTGAGATCTTGCTATTTTGACCATGCCATCTTGTCTATACTACTAATGAATCCTTACATTATGAGTTTCAAAGCATTTTATCAAAAAATAGAAAAGTTCCGACTATATCTATTATATTGGTTGTTTCAAGTGTTGCACGTGCGCGCTCTTGCAAGCACGTGCGCGCAAAATGACCTTGATTCCGCAAATCTGCATAACATGTCTACTTACCCTAAAAAGGTTTTACCTACCTCGGACGAACAGTTTACAAGATCATTCCCGGAAAAAAAGTACCCAGTAATAATAACTAGATGAGATCTCGTTGCGAGCAACGAGAGGTAATCGAGATGAAAAAGTTATTAAAAAAAAATTCGGATATTCGGGGGAGCGAACCCGGGTCGCCCGCGTGACAATCCAACGCGCTACGTATTCAGCCATTGAAAACACCGCTTCAAATATTTAAATGCAAATATCTCGAGATTGCCTTTTTCAATTCTTAAACAAATTACATATTTCTCATTCGCATTACTTTTAAGATAATTAAAATCGTAGAAAAACATTTGAAAACAAAAAAAATATCACTTTTTAATTTCGCTCAGCGACCGGAAACAAGAACTTTGGGCTTACGCACTTTAACCATGCCCTATGCTCTTAATTTCCGGTTCATATTCTCAGCCATTTTATAAAAGTGCGCGACATATATATGTAAACTGGCCATAACTTGGCACCAAAAGCGAATTATCAAATTTCCTCCCAGATGTATCAAATTCATATTGATGCGCTTTTCTGAAAATTTCATTGAAATCCATTGAATGGTTGTGAGAAATCGCGTGCACAAAATTTTGGAAAAAAAATATAATAAGAAACAGTAGAATAACTATAAGGTCTTCCGGAAGACATTGTAATAATAAGAAACAGAGTAAAAACAATATGTTCCCCATGAACTATTACAGTCATGGGGCATTGTATTTTCATGAACTATTACTCCTTCATTCATTCTATATATAAAGTTTTCTGTAAAATAATCAGCTACTTTTTGTGTTCAAGTATTTTTAAACTTACTGTTAAAGTTTGATGCTCCATTGGCGTAAAAGATCTTGATATTTCGCTTTTTGAAGCCATAGTTTCGTAGCATGACGTAGAATTCCGCTAAATTACTTTTGAATCGAACACTACTTGTTTCTCGATTCCAGCCCCCTGACAGCATGACTGCCTGGTCACAGATTTCAAACACTCTGCAACTTGTATGCACTGTTTCATGTGTAGTGGAACATCTCTTTGTGTTGTCCCGTAGGGGGTTACAAATAAGATCTTTTGTCTCATTTTCAGGTCTCAGAACGGGGCACTGTCCAAAACCCTTAATACCCTTCCAACACTTAAGATAGTTGTATTTGGTGTCTTCTGTCTTTGCTTTAGAGGACTTCCGAATGTGAACAACCGGAAGGAAGTTGATCTCACAGCGCCGCGCCCAGTGCTTCCGTTTACTATTTCTTTTAATGGCGTTCTTACATCTCTTTTTCAATGCAAATGTCAAGCAATCCCCTGTAGAATCTGCGCAATAAATCAAACAATAATCAGATTATCGTCCGACAAATATATCTTATCTGGCAATAAATTTTTCATGAGGAACCAAGGCTATAATTTCAAAAGATGAATGAAAAATGTAATATGAATCTACAAAACGAGCTCTTTTATAAATATTTCATATACTATTTTTATCGCATACATTATGGGGAATAAAAGTCATCTTATATACGGATTATCGTCAGATTTCAAACATGTGAAGTGTCCGTATACCTATTAATCTGGCGTCGGTAGGGTACACCGTCGCGAGTTTACGAGAAGTGAAATACTTATTGCAAACCGTATTAGGCTCAAAATTCGAAACCTAAATTTAATGGATTCATGTATATATTTGGTACCTATTTAGTTTGCTTTTAAACAAGGAATAGTTAAAGAGAAGAGGATAAGTTTCTGGTGCTAATTAGGATCTTAGGCAATTTTGAGGTGAAAAAAGTATATATGATCAATTCGAAATCTCTTGTATCATTGTATTACAGCATTCAACAAAAGTTAAGGTAGCATTAATTTTCATGTTACAGGTACGTCTTAATGCGAATACCACGATGCTATCAGACATCAAACGTGCACTTCTTCTAAAAAGAAAGATATAAAGAAAGTAAACGGTATTCTCCTTTCCTCTCTTGATAAGAAATCCCTGATTAGAAAATTATGACACAATCTATCACATTAGGCAATTTTAACGCAATATAAGTCCATATCGATCAATAATCGATACGCTTAAAAACCAATCGCTGAATATAAAAACACGTTAAATCTCTTTCATCTTTCGTTTTACCTTGTTAATTCAAAAGTTCAAAACTGTGTTTAAAAGTAAAGGTTTTTAACAAACCAACTTAGCGGCGGCAAGAAAGGGCTTTCGATAATCCCCTATCGCGCTGTTTGAAACAGCGGGATCTTTTGAAGTATTTGATCGAGGACAAATTGAAGTTTAAGCAAAGTTTCATTACGGAACTAAATTATTCTTATTTAAATAATCAGGTAATTAACAAAGTTGATCCCCTGCCCTTTGATGAGTAGGTTTATCCAATTTACCAGTTGATCTTCGTTGTAAAGCTAAGCCGCGAAGTTAATTCTCTACTCTTTGATAATTCTTTGACGGCCAAAGATAGGATTATCCATACCGATATAAACTTTTCATCGACAAAAAAAAAACTGTCAGAGGCAATATAAATCCAATATCTGAAACATATAGATTGAACTGTGTTTTGGAATGTCTTAGTGTATATCTAAATCCAAATTCGTAATTATTATTTGCGACTTCAGAAAAGGTAAAGATCAAAGAATCTGATACTATAGGTAGTTGACTTGAACTTAAAGCATCACGACCTCTCGTTCTGGAGTGTTTACTTGGGCTCCGGTGTAAAAGAAGAACGATTAATTCATATCATTGTCAATATATACAGTTGTGGGTGTAGATATTTGGGTAGAACAGTTAATCAAGATTTAAATATCTTTTGTGATTATCACCTTTATCATTATAATCTGCTGCTTTAAACCTGACATTCGGGCAAGGCCCTTGGTACCGTACCATGATAAAGCATGACAAAGCTAATATACATGCATATGTTCGTTAATGAAAACTATTGTATCAGAAAATGGAATTGTAAGAAACCACACCAGTATTATGTCAATCCCAGTTTTCGTCATTTTTTTTCAATTACTTCAATATTTTATTGGAGTAAGACCTTCATTAATAAAAATTTACCTAAAATATGAAATTTTTTGAACCAATAATGTACAAAGAAGGAGATGTGCTGTCATACACAGCTACAAAAAGGCAGGGAAATTATATTCTGTTGAATAGTTTTAATGTTAAGACTTTCTCCGAGGTGAAAAATTGTTCTTCTCATTGTTTGTTTTGAACATATTTTATTGACAACATGTCTCATTATATCCACCCAAACAAGATTTGAAACATTAATTTTGATTTGAACTATTTTTCTTGCATTGCATGCATAGAGCAGAACTATAAATACATTATTTATATTTCGCGTGTTTACTGCTAGATGTAGATAAAAATATGCACAAATAATTCTTTGTGTTTTTTGATATGCTGCAACTCGTTTGTATCATTGTTGTTGCATATTGAATCATTTAACACTTTCCTCTGATCTTCAGAATACATGTCATCTACAATCAAACTCCCTATCTCTCTACAAAAAGGCCAGGAATGCAATGTATTTGTCTTCACGCACGCCATACCACCAAGATTTGCTTATAATCAGAATGAAAGTTCGTTACTTCAACACGTGGTTGGGCCTTGTTCACATCGATTAAACTTAAAGAAAAAAAGGAATTCTTTATGAGTTGACTGTTCGTACAGGATGATTATGAATTATAAACATGCCGCGCAGCTATGTAAAGCTAGCAATGACCCTAGGAAATACGCTTAACTTTGCAATGATAACTTTCATTGAATCCGTGTCGTGGGGTCAAGACGTAAATTTAGGGGGGAAGAAAAGAGGTTCAGTCTAATCAAAGTAAGCGAACGTACGTCGTAGTGGGGCATGGTACAAACCGAGTGCAATATAATCATTATCATCATAATTAATGAAACTAATGCTTCTTACCACATAATTGTGCACGGAAGGGTTGCACATTCTGCACTTTATTTTTTATATATCTCTTTATCAAGGGTGCATGCTATAAATGTGAATTTGATATGAACATTTTGAAAGAATAGTTATAAAGATTTCGTAAAAGAATTTTGAAAAAAATGAAAGAAACAAAATAAAAAAAAAATCAAATTAACAACCAAAATATTTATTATGTTGGAAATGATATTTAGCTTAAAAAATACATGCATATCTAAGATTTGTGTAAATTTATATATTATAAAAAGCCCAAAAGATGCGCGGTGTAAAAGGTACAAAATGTAGGTTACAAACTGAATGACTTAAATCTGCTATTTCTTTTCTAAAATATTTATAATCTTTGATCCGCCCCTCCCTATATGTCAGTAGTCGATCCGCTCCTCTATATTATCGGTTTGAGAGGTCAGTGGAATTTCTGATCCGCCCCTCTCTATAATCGGTTTGAGAGGTCAGTAGTACATGTATATATTTGATCCGCTCCTGTCTATAATCGGTTTGAGAGGTCAGTAGTATTTACTCTTGATGTCTAGATAACTGTACATAGTACCCCCTCCCAGAAATACGTTATCCCCATCTCTGTTTCAGGGAGAAGCAGTTATTTATCTGAGGGAGAAGCAGTTATTTATCTGATTGATCTCAACCACTTGTGATTCTCTCTACCTACAGCGGAGTAATCATCGTCTGTTCTGGTGTCTTATGGTCGTAGTTTAAAAAAGAAATCCAAGTTTTAAGTGATGAGAGAGAGAGAGAGAGAGCGTTTGAGTTTTAAAGTACATTAAATTTAAGTCTATATATATTTCCAGTTTGTGGTTATTATTCCATTATTTTAGACTATAAGGGAAAGGTCTAAGCGAGCTTTTTATTTTGTGGTTTGTTTGAATTTTTAATTCAGGGGTTAGACTCGTATTTATAAATTTTCTTTAATTAAAGAATATCCCCGGTTCGAAAGAGAATAATTTGAAAAGTAAGGTGTCTGTTAAATAAGATCATGATGAGGGAATTCTGCGACACACACAGTGTACAACTAAATCAAAAATAAATTAATTTTATTGAAACTCTTTAATATTAATTTATGATTTCAAAAGTAAAACGTTATGATTTATATATTTCTTTAATTTGGTCATACTCAAGATATCAAACATGTTATCAAAATGATAAAATGTGAAGTTTAGGAATTTGACTAACTGGTATTGGAAGGATAAAAAGAACCGATGAAAGTTTTAAAAAATCTTTGATATCAAGAAATCTAACTTGATTTCTTTTATTTTCTTCGCCTTTATGAAACAGTTTAAATTGTTCTCCTTAATTGACATATTGGGGGTCTTTTCTTAAGTGGCGCCCAAACGATTTAAAATTGAATTAATTGCCCGTTGACGAAAACAACACATATATATATTTAGTCATTGAAAAGTTATGAGAAGGTTTACCTTTTCCCTTTAATCAACTTGGACATGAAAAAAACCCGCTTTGATTTCATTTTCTTTAATTTCTGTAAATTGAATTTCCCACACATTTCAAATGAGTATTTCAACAATACATTTAATCACTTAACAATTTTTTTTTATGTATACTAAAGGCTAAACACAAGGGAAAAAGGAATGCGAAAGTTTTATAGAGCGGTTTTTTAACATTTTGCGATGTTACACAAGTTGATTTTAAGTCATTTTAAGTATCAATAACGGAAAACTTAATAAAGAAATTATTGTTCTAACTAGAAAACTGAAAAAAAAGAAAGTTAAATGACATGCAAAACTAGAAAAACAGAAAATTGCAATCTACATCATAAGATAGTTGACAACATTTGAAAATAAATTTACATGTGCTTGAAAATCGATTGTCATGTACAGTGAACTTACCAATGTAGATCCCCTTTTTATGAGCACATTTGAATCTACTTCGGATGTCCACCACAAATACTATAACAAGATGTCCAAAGTTTGCGAGGGGGTACGGGTCGAACACTAGTACCCCCTCGTGTGTATTTCGTCGTGTCAATTTCTCATCGGGCAATAAAACGTCATATTCCCCTCTAGGCGAAAATGGGGCTACATGCACTATATAGGAATTCTTAGGCACGAGTAAGAGACGTTGACATTCTCTCGAAGAAGTAAAAAAAATATCACTACAGTTTAATTTTTTCAAATGCGCGAAAGCGGCCTCAGCCCATAAGGTCTCTCGGGACGTCTCCGTCCCCACCCATTTCCCATCATCTAGGTTCAGCCGTTCGGAACTATTGTCCGTGATGTACGGAACTAATCCAGCAACGTAGAGGAATTTCCATAACGCGATTGACGATGAAAATATTATCGTCTTTCTAATCGAAGGCATTTTATCACTGTTTACAAAGTAAACTTTAAAAGACAGATCCCCACTTTTTTTCACATTGCACTTTTATTTATTCAAAGTTTACAAAGTTCAAGCAAATAGCAAGTTCGAGTTCTTTCATATCTTCGTCAAGGGAAATAAGATATTTTAACAATGTCCTAGTGAAATTCGAGTTTCAGTCCACATTGTGAAAATTCCAAATCCTGGTATGATGAACACATTAAAAATTCAATAGAAATATTTCAGAATTAACGTTTCAAACTCTCATGAAAAGTCCTCTGTAGCTAAAATACCTTTCGGGGTACATCATTTACGAAGCGTTGCTCATTGATAAAAGTATACGTAAAACTGGTGGCTTTAATCACTATATACTACCGGGGTGTTTTAAATCAAATTCACATTGCTCCACTCATATTGCACAGTGTCTAACCTCTACAAATGCGACCTTCTTCGACCTTTTCGGACAATCTCTAGAACCAATGAAAATGAATTATATCTCAGAGATCCCTCCTGATTGGCTAAGATGCTGCTCTCTCTGATTTTCGGGTGCCTTCTGAATGGATCGATGACAGACTTTGCTCTTTGATTTTTTTCATGAAGGATTATAGTGCTTTAATGTAGGGAGTGTGATTTATATATACGTTCTGTGTTTATATATATCAGTGTGCGTTCAGATTAAAGGGAAGGGGATAAAAGGAGATCAGCGGCGCGTTTCTATCACAGGAAGCACTGCCATATAAAACAAAGTGTCGTGCTGTACGGACACGTACATTACCTTTCACTGGCGCGAGGATCCATATTTTATCCCCTCTGAAGCCAAATTAATTAACAGTTCGTACATCTTTCATGGCGGCTTCACCTTCCCAACCTTAAGATTATTTTCCCTTGATGTTATTCAATGCTTAAAACGGTTAAGGAAATTGATTGCTTTTCAAATGTGTTATAAATTAAAATTAAGCGAGTTACTAAAATCATATTATAAATCATTTGAACCATATCTCCGATTGAAAAAAGAAAGGATAAATATAAATTATTGCAAAAATATATATATTTTTCCAGATCAGAAGGGTTTGAACCAAAGTGTACCAAATGCAGTCAGGTTAATTATTACAGGAAGAACAAACTGTATTATAAAAATTGTATTTCATTGTACGAGCAAATTTTAATATTCAACCAAGTATATGTAGTCTTTGTACGTGAAAAGGGGTACCATAATTTTGATATTGCGTACAAGTGATGAAAAATCAAAATTGTATCTTTTATGTCAATTTTCTCAATACATTACAATTTTAAAAATCATATGAAAAGTTTTATGTACTTTTATTTTAAGAAAAATCACCGTGTAAATGTGACGTTGAGTAGGATTTTAAATTTTTTTTTATTGTACATGTTCAAGTATAATTTTTAGAAAGGTTTTAAAATAAAGCGTAAAAACTAGTGTTGGCAAATCGGACGATTTTTAGTAACCGGTTACTCGCTTCATCTTCCGATATAGAGTACCCGGTTACTCGGATGATTTTTGGTAAAAGTATCGATATCTATTGTTTATCTTATTCTATACTTATCGGTAGTAGTAATGCACAAATATACTATATAGGGACAATATATTTACAATACACACATACGATATCGTCAAAGATTTTTGATTTTAAAATAAAGAAAATTAATAGGGAATTCGACACACAAAGACAAATAAATACGTTACCTCCAATCACCACTTTTTGCTTTCTTTTTCAGCCCCCGAAATATGTCGCAATCAAGGAGAATAATTATTTACATACTCCATAATTAATAATTAATATGTGGAGTGTCCAGTAAATCGCTGGTTTTCGAATAATTTAAAGTTAGGTGATTTAACAGATTTTGAATCAGCTGTTCTTTTGTTACAACTCCAAACTTATTAGGTCTCAACTTAGCGGCAATTTCGTTAAATTATTTTAAAATAATTATAATTTTGGCCTTCAAAATATGTTTGCCCCAGGCAATCAAAGCTATCAATTATATAAACTGTGAAAACTAATCAAAACAATTTGATTCACTACAACCATGCATTAGATCAAATCTAACGGTACCTAAAATTAGGGAAATGTGTAAGTTAGTATACATTTATAAATTATAAAACATTCATTTCCTATGCCTTTAATATGTAGAATTAATTTCATCCGAGTAACCGAATAGCAGTTTTACTAACCGATACTCGCAAATTTTTACGGTTAACCGGTTAACCGGGTTTTAAACACTAGTAAAAACATAACCCCATAATGAATCACATTTTCCTAACATCATTCAGGAATGGTGTAAAACATTTCAATTTTCGTCAACTCGTTCATATTATTTCTAAATTAAGTAATTGAATTCAAATATATGAAAAAAAATTGAAAATAGTACTAGTAGTATGTAGAAAATCGCTAGAACCGGATTACTACATCAACTCACTTTAGATTTTAAAATAAAAATCTATATTTCAGTAATAAATTATAATCCGCGTTTCATTATTGGAAAGTGCGATATAATCTTATAGGTGTATTCTGAAACAGTGTAAAGGTACACGTAAGTAAGCAGACTGTTTGAAGTTTTTGGTGATATCGATGGAATTTAATAATTATTAATTTTGTACTTTTTATCAATTTTAATCATGATTCATACTTGTAGTATACCATAAGGAAATTATAATGATATTCTGAAGGTTTCGATTATTTTTAACCCAAGACTAAAGATAAAAAATAAGGATATTTCAATGTTTTCAGCTGGGTTTGGAATTTATTTCGGAGTTGGACAACAGTTTTTGAATTTCTCAGTCATGCAAAGCACAAGCGGAAACATTTGTAAAAATGTCTCATGAGAGAAGTCATGCACAACGATTGATTTTAATTTTTTTCTGTTTTCTAGTTTTAATTAAAATGATATGTGTTTGTTTCTTTTCCATCTTGGCGATTTACCTATTGTCTACTCCGGTTCTAGTATTATAGTTTTGCCTTCTAAAGTGAGTTTGTTCTTTAACAATCCTTCTAAAGTTTTACAAAAAATTTGTCATTTTAACTTAAAAGTATCATATCCATAATTTTCACTGTAATTAAAAGCATGTTTTTAATAATACCAGTTTTATTCCGCAGACAAATTTCACTGTATTGAACGTATTTTACTGACAATATTTCACAGGAATTGGACACAAGTTTCTAAATCTTGGATAGTCTTTCCCTCATAATTTAACTTTTAAAAATATTTATTTAAAATAACTTTTAGCCAAAATATGACCATGGTTTTTGAATGAACTACTCAATGTTGTAAGCTGGTTATGGAATTTATTTCAGAGAGTTAGACATTTCCAGTCAGGCAAATCACAAGTAGAAACATATTTAAATGTCTCATGAGAGTATAATTCATGTACAAGAAATGATTTTGATTTTTTGTTTTAAAATAATTTGATTTTTTTTCTTCTCCATCTAGGCGTTTTTCCCGTTCTTCTCCTACTACAGTCTTGCATTGTGAATATGTTCTTTAACAATTATAGCAGAAAAATGGAAGCAAAGTTTTGCAACAAATTTGTTATTTTCACTTACAAATAACAGATCTATTATTTTCACAGTAATGAAAAAACATTTCTTTGATAACTGAAATCAGTTTTATTCCCCAGACGGATTTCACGGTATAGAACATATTTTATTGACAATATTTCACGACACAGTTCGGACACGGTTTCAAAATCTTGGATAGTTATCCCTTCATTATATCAATTTTAGAGACGTTTATGCAAAAAGCATTTTTAGCCAAAATATGACTATGGCTTCTGAATGTTCTGTATTTTGAAGCCTAATTGTTCCCGAACCAACTGAAACCTACAATTGTATCTATAGCATGCCTGACTATTCTGCCCATGCATTTGGCAGCCGGCAAAAAATGCCATACAATATTTACATTTTTGCACAAAAAACATAAAATGTTCAACAGTATAGGAGGTGTATAGCAGCCGATAATTGCAGTGGAATGGAAACTCCAGATTAGAAAAACATAAAAGCCACGGCAGAGCGACCATAATCCCGCTTGGAGCGCTCCGCGCGATCACACATGAAAGCGAAACGATAAACACAGAACCGACCCTCGTTAATCACAATCTTGTTTCTCGGGCCAATTATAAACCAATAACTAAGGTTATCTAGTAAAGATTCTTACCATTTTGAAGAAAAAGAGAAAATAAGATGCATTGTTACATAATGAGATTTTTTAAGGTTACTCAGTGCAAATGCTACTATACTTGAAATGTTACAAGACAAAACTATTATAGCAAACTATAGGTAAGGGAAGTATACTACATGTATTGATAACTGCAAGTAACTAATTACAATTTTCACTGTAGTAAATGAAAGTTTTCAAAGGTATCAGTCTAAAAACGGAATTCCAGCTTAAAGTCCATTCAAGAATATAAACAGGAGATGAGCAAACACGGATTTCTAAAACATCCAAGTTGGGATCCGGAGCCATGGAGAAGTAAGTATGCCCTGTTGATCGATCACATCCGTCATGTGCTCTTTGACATTTAAAAATGACGAGAAAATCCGTAGGCAATTCAGTGTGTAAATAATGGCCTAACAATTATTTTAGTGAAAAACGTTAACATGCATTTGACTTAAAGTCATTTCAATTTTTTTTCTAAGTTCAGTACATGTATCCAAGAAGAACGTATTGGTTTTGAGGTTATGAACTTAACAACAAACACAAATTAGAATTAGAGGTACTGTGAGCAATGAGCTCACTACGTGATATCCCCACCTCCCATATGATTATAACTGCAAAAGTCCATGTTTTGCTCTGGGAAACCCGAAATAAGTGTCATATCTGAAAGTAAAATAGGAGATGCACAATGGGAATTTGTTATAAAGAATCTGTGAAAGTATTAAATTCTAATCAGTGGTTTAAGAGGAGTTGCGGATAAGAGAAAAGTACCCTTCAATATAATACAAGTAATAACTGTGTTTTGTTTTTTTTTTTTTGCTCTGGAAAACCCAAATATGTGTCCGATCAAAAAGTAAAATTGGAGGTCCACAATGGCACAATATGTAACAAAAATTCTGTGAAAGTTTCATTAAAATTTATTCAGTGATAAAGGAGGAGTTGCATGCAGATAAGAAATAGGTACTCCAAAGTCTAACGGACGGACGGACATTCCGATCACTTTAAACCCTCCCACTTTTCAAGCCGGGGTATAATCAACAAATACAAAACATTGAAGCGTAATTTACTCTTTTGGAATCAACACTTTGCTTTATTCCAAGGAATGCACCAAAAATATTTTGTTTCAATAAACTAGTAGTTTACTTACATGTAGGTTACAATGTCAGAAGAATTCTTAAATGATGATGAGAAAATCTAAAGTTGTTCTTAAAATGCAGTGCTTTTTCTCCTTTTAATTTGTGTTTTTAAGCGGTTAGCTTCGCTAGCCGCTATATGGCATGTGTCGGCAACCGGAAACCTCCATAAGGCGCTACCTATCGGCATCGCTTTATCGCTCGTAACCTTATCCTTCTGCAACCAAAACCGGAAACTTCCATAAGGACCTACCTATCGACAACAGTAACTTCAGCAAATGATTTGTATACTGTCGGCGTAAAAAGACAATATGCTGTGAAGTCTGGCCAGCCC